CTCAGAAAACCTATACCGGGTCATTATGAGTCAGACCAGATTCCAGGGCATTTAACAACAACAATTCGGGATTAGAAAGACTCAGGATACAGCTCTTGGGTCAGGACAACTTCTCCCAGCTTTACTAGAGGCAGGGCTTTACTTGTGTCCTTGGCCATTCAGCCACACACAGCCCCTTGGCCTCTGTCCTCCTTGGGAAAGTGTTTCAAAGCATTTTTAGCTCGCCTGATAAATGTCCACCTCTCCAGTAAGCCTGCTTGAGAAGCTCAGCTCTAGCTCTGTGGAGAGGCAATCTCAGCCCATCCCCCCTCGCTCCACCAGCAAGCCTCCTGCCCAAAGGCACTCAGCGTTCTTGCTTCATGGGCTGGGAGGCCCAATGCTCGGTCTCTGTGTGTTCTGCTGCCTCTGTGGCTCCTACTTGGCTGCCACTGCTTTCCATGCTGTCTCTGGTGTCACAGATGTCTCCTGGAACAAAGAGGTTCAGTGCAGGGATCTTGGATCCAAAGGACGATGTTCCACTCCCAACTCTGTTATTTTTAAAAAACTTTTCTTGTGAATTGGGTGAAGGTTTGCAAAGCAAATCCGTTTTTCTGTTCAACGATTTATACACATTTTGTTGCATGCCATTGATTGCAATCCCCACAACCTAACATCTTATATCCATTCCTCCTCCTTTCCAAACCCTTCCTGCTTCTGAACTTTGTCCTTGGTGAACACTGCTCTCTGATCTCCAATGGTTGGTTTTGTAAGGCTTTTCTACCTCCCAGATGTTATAGTTCACCTTACAAACCTGTCTATTGTTTGGTTGATGGCTCTACTTTCTTTATGCTAGTAAGACCCCCTTCCCCCATATTTCAGTTTCTCAGATGGCTAATTTTAAACTTAGCAGCATGGCAAACTAAACAATTCTAATATTGTTGTTGTTAAGTGCTGTCAAGTTGGTTCTGACCCATAGAGACCCTGTATAGGGTTTCCAAGGAGCAACTTGGTAAGCTTGAACTGCCAACCTTGTAGTTCCAGTGGACTTTGAGGTCCAGCACATTAACCCACAGTGCCATAACATATTAGGGTTTCATAAACCTCATGTGCATGGTTCCACCCCAAGGGGGCCATGCACCTTATTTACATTATTAGCAAGCTATCCATTCCCATCTGGTGGACCACAAGCACCTCACATTTGCATAGTTGTACATAGTCCTGGTGTGACCCTGTAGGATAAGCAGTGGATCATAAGGTAGATTTGAACCGCAAGGTCAGCGGTTCAAACTCACCAGTCACTCCTCGACAACACTATACAAGGATGCTATGAGTTGGAACCTACTCGACGGCACTAAACAACAACAAAGATGGACAATAGTTAGTAATTCACTGCCCTGCATGCCCTTACCTGGTGAGTCAAATTGCACGGGGTGGTAGTTGTAAGAAAATAAGTTGCTGACCGAAAGGGAGATACCAACATCGTTTCTATCCAAGCTCCTACTCTGTCTGGCGGCTGGGCTTTCTTTTTTCAGAGAACCCCAAATGAGGAAATTTTAATGAAAGCTGAGGATATGGTGGTCAGACTTGGAACAAAGCACTTCTTCCCTAGACCTTGGTGAAGGGGTAACTTTTCAATGCATAAAGCTCCTCGTCTTCTTAAACATACCCCATCTTCAAATTAGTCCATTCTGTGCAGCCCCGAACTTAGCACCAAGCCCCCCCCCCCAAAAAAACCCCAAACAACAAGGCAAATCTACTGGAGCTAGCAACCTCATCTTCCTCCCTCAGACAGCTGGTGGGTTCGAGACTCTGACCTTGCAGTTAGCAGTCCAATGCTTAGCCCTCAGTACCACCAGGGCTCCTGAGCACAGCATCTATAAATGTCAGCTGCAGACATAGTTCTCTCATGTGCTGAGTTTAAAGGCCAGTTGTTAGTTTCATTGGGACTTTTTAATGGAGCAGAGTCTTCCATCTACAGAATTGCTCTCTAGTGTAAGAGGCTTTTAGGCCAGGGACTTATGATCACCCCCATGGTTTGTCACTCCCCTGTCCCTCTACCCCCACAGTAGTGTGAGTGCAGCCTGAGCAGTAACGAAGCCTCGAGGAGCGTTGATAATGGGACTTGAGTCTCGCAGGCCTGGCAGGCATGTGCGGACAAGTTTCCAGCACTGAGGGATGACTGGAGCCAAGCCTCCAGGGCTTTCCCACAGTCCTTCCCCAGCGCTGTGGTGCAGCAGCTCTGGGCAGCCTCTGTGGTTGACAAGAGTCCCTGTCTCTTGTAAAAAGTCTTTGTGTCCAGCTTCTTACACTCAATATTATGTCTTTGAGAGGCATCCATATTGCTGTGTATTTCGGAGGTTTGTTCTTTTTGACCGTTGAGAAGTGTTCCATTGAATAAATATATCAAACGTTAGCCATTCTGCTGCTGATGAACATGTCAGCTGGGATACTGAGCTTCAGTGAATGACCTGTCATTCATTACTAGTAGGAGTGTAAATTGCTACAACCACTATGGAAAACCATCTCATGTATCATTGTAATCATTATAACTGTCATTTGTCGAGCACTTCTCTGTGCCAGGCACTGTACTAAGTGATTCACCCTCATACCTCCATCCTCACAACGACACTAGGAAGTAGACTGTTGCCTTTTGTTAAATAGGACAATCACAGTGGCACAAGGCTATTGTGAAGTTTTACTGAGATTATGCTTTGATGGATTTAGACCACTGCTGCCATTTTGGAAGTTTGTTTATGATAACCTGTTATGAGTTGGAATCAACTTGCTGGCATGCAACATTAACGGTTATTACCAAAGAGCACACAGTTCAGAAGCCTGGGTTTCATGCCTGCCTAAGCCACCCAGAACAAGTCAGAGTCTCTGAGGGATCATCAATCCACTGACCAGGACTTCTAGGAAGACACACGTTTAATAGGATGACAAGACACAGACTGTGAATCAGGAGAGATCCCCCTGTTATATGGTCCTTTCAGAAGTTGAGTACAGAAAGGACTTTCAGAGACAATACCTGTGTTTCCACGAGCATATAAGACCAAAAGCTTGGGTAGTGTATGTTTCACTCGTTCACAAATATGATTTGAGTCCCCTTCCTCCAGACACTAGGCCAAGAGCTGGAGGAGACAGCCTTGAACAAGATAGGTAAGGATGGAGAGTAAAACTAAACAAGGACCACAGCAGCAAGGCACTGAGACAAGAGGTACTTCTGTGGGGAGAGGTGCTCTTTAGATTATGTGATCACTGTGAAGACCCTCCAAAACCCCTTGGGGGAATGAGTAGCACACTGGTCCAGATGAGGGGAAAACAAATTCAGATGCCCCGAGGTGAGAAAGGGCAGAGGACTGAAGAGGTCTAAGAGGTAAGAAGGGGGCAGTTCATGTGGGGCACTGTCGGCCTGAGTGGGGAGTGTGGATTTGATCCTAAGGCTGATGGTATCCAGGGTGTGAAGGCCTGCTGGTACCCAGGGAAGGTCTTGTGGGGGAGGGTCCTCATGGAGGGTCACCAGGAGGGTGCTGGCTTATTAGGTGAATGAGTAAGTTTATAGACATTTGGATGGATGAGGCAGTGCACATTGCCACGGCAAACAGCAGGTACACAGGAGGCCCTAGACCCGCGGCCATAAGTCCTGGTTCTAGGGCTGGCGACCACGCGCTGTGACCTTGGACACGTCCCCGCCCTGCACCCAGGGCCCGGAACCCTGCCTGCGTCTCAGGGCGGGGAGGACGTGCCTGGAAAGACTGTGCGCGCGCACGGCCGGCAGACGATCGGACGGCAGGCCCTCCAGAACCAACCCTCTCCTGCATCCGCTCATCCAGGCCCTCAGACGGGCCCGAGCCCTTCTTATTCGCAGTGTTTACATACTACCCACGACGGCCACGCGGCTGCCAGCCGCTCTGATGCCACGTGGTCCTGCCTGTGGAGTTCCACTACCTGCCCCTCCGCGGCACTCGCGCCAACATCTCCCGCGTTCATCCCGCACGCGACCCGAGCTCAGGCCCCGCCCCTGCGCGGTCCCGCGGCCCGCCCGCGGAGTAGCTGCTACTCAGGCCCCGCCCCCTCCATCCCGCGCCCCGGCCCTCCGGCGGCGCGCAGACCCTGTCACTTAGCCCCGCCCCGGAGAGGTCCCGCCCTTCGCCCCGCCCCTGGAGGTACCAGGACGCCTCTGCTGGCTGGCTTGGTGGCGGAGGCCGTCCTGAGGGCGGTGGCTGGGCGGGCCTGTCCCCGCTAGCAGCCGCTCAGGGGCTCTGGACAGGGGCGGGGCGGAGGCTGGCGGGAGGGCGCGAGGGCGGGCCGGGGGCCGGTTCCGCGCGCTGGGATTTTTAAATGTCCCGCTCGAAGCCGGGCGCAGGAGCAGCCGCCTCGGCATCCAGAGCGGTGTAGGGGGAGGCGCGGATCCCGCCACCACCGTCGCGCGTTCGCCCGCCTCCCGGCTTCCCGTTCGCCGCCCGCCGCCTGCCGCCTGCCTCGGCTCGTGCTCGCCTGTCCGCCCCAGAGACGGCTTCGGGTAAGGGCGCCGCTGTGGGCTGCCAGAACCCGGACGACAGGCGAGAACTCCCAGAGCTCCCAGGCCCCGTCGGGCCGGACCGGGCCTTACCAGGGGTGGGGCGGAAGCGGGGTCTCCACGTCCCGGGAGGCGTCTGCGCGGGGTCCCCCGGGGAGGGTGGCTCGGAGACACGGTGAGGGAGAGGTGCTGAAGGGAGACTAAGGCAGCTCAGATTCCGAGGGAGGCAATATGCTGGCGAGGGTCTCGGGGTCGTCCGAGCTCCGCTGACCCCTGGTTCGAATCCAGGTTCGCGGGCTGTTGGCGGCGCTGCGGGTGACAGGCCACCCCGGGCCCATCGGCCATTTTCCCGGCCGGCCCAGGAGGCTCCCGCGGCCGCCACCGCCCGCGCGGGAGGGGGAGGGGTGCCCGGGCGGGCGGCCCGGGTCCCTCGGGCCCCCTCCCCCCCTCACCCGCGTCGTGTCCTTCCCCAGGCCTGTGGTCGGAGCTCACACCCTGCACCATGCCGAAGGAGAGGTGAGTGGCCTGGCCGCTGCGGGGGGTGGGGGAGGGGCAGGGGAGGGGGCGAGTTTGGGGGGACCTCACCCCTGTCTTGGTACTACCCGGGCTGTGCAGAGATGCGATGGAAGGAGACATGGGGAAGGAAGAAGGCTGCAGCGGTAGTAGCAGCAGCAGCAGCAGCAGCAGCAGCGATTTCTCTGCTCGCTCCAGGAAAAGGAAGGCGAATGTGGCCGTGGTGAGTACAAAGGAGACAGGTGGGGGAGGGACCCCCCAACTTACCTGGCTACCAGACTAGCCTCTGCCCTCAGACTTGTCAAAAGGGGCTTTGTCGGGGGTGCCTTTGGCAGAAATGGTGCTCAGAACCTAATCAATTTCTTGTTTTCTCTGTGTGTGTTTGTCTTTGACCTGTTCGGTGTGTTTCTATGTGGGGGGGAATGTTTATGGTAGTTTTTGCAGGATCCAGATGAAGAAATGGCCAAAACTGAGAAGACTGTGAAAAGCCAGTCGGACAATCAGGTATATGTGCTTACTTGGTGGGCTCTCTCTCTTTACTGTCAAATGGGATTTATAGTCTCTTGCCTGCTGCTGAAGGTCTTTTCTCTTAGGACACATGGTCCAAATAGTTGAGCAGTGTACCGCCAGTAGGCCGTACACTTCTGCCAGCCTTGGGATTCCAGGAAGGTGGTGTGCTGCTGACTAGCAAACCGCCTTTGAGATTATGGATATATGCTAGCTGGAGGAACCAGAGTGAACCTCTAGTAATTTAATCCTTCCCTCGCCCCCACCCAAAGGTGCCTTTGGAAGAAAGACCTGGTTATTTGCTTCTGAAAGGTCACCCCTTATAAACGCCCTGCAACACATCGGGTTGTAATGAGTGAGAACCGACTCCATAGCATCTGGCTTGGTTTTTTTAAATTCCTTTTTCCCTTGTCCCCATGAAGAAACTGAGGCCTAGTTAAGGAATAAAGTAACTCAGCATTGTGTGCACTCAAGGGGCAGTCAGGCCTACAACCTTGTCTCTTTAAGACTCAGGGAGGACACAGCTTTGGGGGTATATTGGGTGATGGCTACTTGTGTGTGTTTGTAAGCAATGACTTAGCTTAAAAATCTTAGCTTAAAAATCTTCCTGCCGCCCCGCCCCCACCCCCTCCCCCTACTTGGAGCAGGTGTGGAACCCTCCCCTCTTCCTGGTCCTGGAATTTCGTCCAGCCCATCCAGTAGTTACCTGCTGTGATCAGGGCTCCTCTGGCCTCAGTGTTGTAGAACATATTGTGTAATGATGTGTATGTCTCAACACATTTTCCATGGACGAGTGCATTTTTCTTGTCCCTCCTTTAAATAGTTTCTGCCAAAATTCCTGTATGCAGGCTTCTATCACTATAATATCTCCAGTTCCCTGCAGAAAAAGCTGACATTATCTCTCTACCTCCAGAAATGGCTGAGGCTATAGTTAGGACTCAACTAGGGGGAGCAGTCTCTCTTCAAACTAGCTGGTCAGGCCTTCTATCACTGATAAAAGTTGGGCAGGAGTAGTTTATAAACTGAGTGCCATGGTCCCTACTGGGTTAGGACAATGAGTAAACAGTAGCCATGGCAGCTGGGTCTAGAGTGAGGGTCTTCAAAGTTGATAGGCCACATTGTCCTCAACAGTAGTTCTTGCTGCATGTAAAACCTTAGTATGAAAACGTTTCTGGGGAGGATCCATGGAGTAGGGAACTTGGGATTGGAGATTTCTTTCTCCATTAAAAGAAATACTTGACTTCAGGAAAGGGATTGGACAACATATCCTAAATTCATTCATGCCCTGAAAAAGACAAAACTTCTAATGAAGCAAGTTGATTTTGCAACTATTGTAAGACAAATCCCTCCTTATAAAATTCACAATGATTTTCCTAGCTGTGTTTCAAGTGGAAAAGAAAATTTTAACAGAAGATAAAGCAAAGTGTTGGTGTTTTTTGAATACATTCTGATCTCAAGGATAACCTGAGCAAGTCCTAGGATGCCGTAGGCTTGACCCTGTCCCTGGGCGGTGGAACGTTGATGCTGTGATAAGCGAGTAGCCATATGATTCCCCACTGGAAGGCATTTTCAAGGTTGCGAAAGACTTAACGAGAATAGGTTTCTGTGTGTAGAGTAGATAGCTGGAAATGTATCCATCTGTTTTGGAATGGTGTCCTTGTCTACTGCTCACTGAAAAGTTGGCAGTTCAAACCCACCAGGCAGTTTTGTGGGAGAAAGGTCTAGCAATCGGCTCCCATAAAAATCCAGCCAGGAAAACCCGATGGGGCAGTTCCATGCCACAGCACCTGACATCTAAAATTCATTAAACAGATATACCTGTTTTGTTTAATTTTTTTACATGTGACCCAACATGAGTTTCGGAGCCGAATCTGGGAGTTTGTCAATTCTTATTAGAAAATAATTTTGTGTGAGGTGGTTTTCTCTTTAGCTGTGACCTAGGGAATCAGGGATGATTAGGAATAATCACAGTTGGACTCTTGCTCTCCCATTATTTCTTAAACTCAGGCCGATCTTCCTTCCTTTGAAACTTGGTGTACATGCAAGTTAAGGACTCAGACTTTTCTCTTTGGCTTCATCTTTAAAAGGCCAGCATTGGGAACCAGTTGCTTACTTGTGGTTAACTGCTACCAGTTTATCTCCAAAGGCCTGCTGCTGTCTGCTGTGCCAGACATCTGGCTGTGGAGGGTGGCACCCAGCTTCTGGCTTCAACACTAGGAGTCAGTCTTCTTGAAGGAAGAGCAAAATGAACTTACAGTAGTTGTAGTGGGGTCCTTTGAATCAAGGAAATGCTGTCAGCTCCTGATACTGGAACTGGGAGAGAGGAGCTTGCCCTTTCACACCACTGTTGGCAGGAGCTGTGCTAGATGATCTGCATGCCCGCTTCTCTGCACAGTGAGTGGAGAGGTGCTTTATGGGACTGAAGGTGTTCTGTTAAAAAAAAAAGCCAAAAATGCAAACTTCCACGGGGTTTCCATTACTGGCAAGACTGTTACCTGTGGAGGCTCCAACACAAATCATTGTTGAATCATTTTGAAAATCGAACATAGACTTCTTACAATATGAAGTCCCATAGAGGAACCCAAAAAGAAAAATTTCCAAATCGTGAAATGACCTGAGTCTTTTCTAAATATTAATTTGAATGAAACTTAAGTATCCAAGAACTGTAAAAGAAAAGCATATTGAGTTGGAGTCGCCTTTACAGTAGTAGGTTTGGTTTTAATAAGGATGGCAATCTGTTGATTTTTTTCTATCTTGCACTTTTAAGACATTTTAGAAGATTAGTTGCACTTGATAAAAAACGAAATCTTTGAATTCTGAGCAAATAATCCCTCGGTAGGGTTGTCCCTGGTGGTGCAAATCATTAAGCTACTACTTGAAAGGTTGATGGTTCAAACTTAATGTTTTTAAAATACCAGCTGATCTGCAAATCAGCGAATGTGAAAATAACCAGTATACATCCAACCCCACGACCAAGATGTTTTTTCCTTTCACAGACTTGGGACAATAATGCAGTGTGTGAAAACCCCTGCACCCAGATCCCCATACCTGACAAAGAGGGGGATGAGGAGATGAAAGAGGAGGAGGAGGAGGAGGTGAAAAAGGAGGAGGAGGAGGTGAAAAAGGAGGAGGAGGTGAAAAAGGAGGAGGAGGAGGAGATGGCAGACTCAAGTTCTACCCAGGAACCTCCTCAGGACTTCACCTCTCCTGGATCCACACTGGCTAGAGTCATGACACCTAGAGCCATCCCGCTGCCAGTGCTGAAGTAAGTGTGTGCCAACTGCGTGCCTGGTTGCTCTTCCCCAGGCTTTCACTTGCTCCTCATCTGTGTGGAGACTTTCTGACACTTGTCTGTATTTCATAGCTGGGCCAATAGAGAGGAGGTTTGGAAAGTCATGTTAAGCAAAGAAATGACCTACGTGAGGGACAAGCACTTTCTACTGCGTCACCCCCTTCTGCAGCCGAAAATGCGAGCCATTCTTCTGGACTGGCTGATGGAGGTGAGCTGAGTCTGTCTGCTAACTGGAAGCAATGACCATTTCTACAATCCTCTACACTATTATGATCTCTGTGTGTTTCATTCCACTGACAGATTCTAAAAAGAATTTTCTAAAGTCGTTTTATGCCCTAGATCATTTTGTTGTTTGGTTCCATTGAGTCATTTCCAACTGAGAGTTGACATATTTTTTCATCAGTTTATATTGTAAAGGTTATATTTCCCAATGTATTATAAATATTGATAATTGCTTCTTGCTAATTAAATTCTATTAAGTGTACCCAGTGGAGTGCAAATACCAGCTGTTTGGTAGCCAGGGTCATACATTTTAAGAATATATGAACAAATGTATCTTTAACAGCCAGAAATCTTATATCATTCCTTTATACTCCTTGAATTCCATTCCCCTTAATCTATAGAATTATATCTAACAATACGAGGGTAAATCAGAAAGAATTGCTATCAGGGTTCTAGTTCATCCCTGTGGGTTTATTTTTAGTAGAATGTGCCTCACCCATGTCTATGATCCATACATGAGTACAGACAAGATCTCAATCATATACTTGTCTTAGTCTTCTTTGGGTGCCTTCAAAAACGCTCCAGTCAAAACAGTGGCTGCCAAGGGGATCTGTGGGCCAGTTACATTCAAGGCACAGAGGTCAACTGAGAAGGTTATGGCAGTTGTTTTTTGCCCACCATAGTCCCAGCCTGTATTAGATAACTCTTTGTGCCCTTTGGAACTTCCATCATTTCTTGAAGTGTTAGCTGTAATACATCTGAACCTCTTAGGCTTAGATTCATTCTCACAAGAAGACTTCAAGATTCCTTGCTACATAATGCCAATGATGGCCATTATGTTTTGAATGAATGTTCTTAAAGGCAATCAAAAAAGGTCGTATGGGGAGGGTAAAAAAGAATGGTTACCTTTATGTCTTTAATGGGACAGATCTAGAGCCCACAATTCACAGACATGCTTGTCTGAAGTGACGTTATGTTCCTCACCTCTGCACCCCTCTGAGAAGTCTCTTGTGATATAGTCTTTAAATGTGTGTTCCCGCTTTAAAACTCTTACTAAAACTGCCCAGTAATGAGGGAATGCGTGAATTTTTAGAATCAGTTGTGAAGAGCGAGGCCATTTGGTCTGATAGAATTCGTAACTTCTTTCTCCATGAAGTCACCACCTTTGGACGAGTCTTCTTTCTCTAGTCCTGTGAACGTTTATTCTTACTATTCTAGGAAGCACAGCTTTTCATTGTGCAAGTGCTCAGGGACAAACAAGGTGACCATCCTTTGGGAAAAGCAAAGTTGTTTCACTTGCCCCTCCCCCAAACTCATAACAAGCCTCCCCCCACCAACTGCTCTAAATTGGACTCAATGCATTTTTTCAGGTCTGTGAAGTGTATAAACTTCACAGGGAGACATTTTACTTGGCACAAGATTTCTTTGACCGCTATATGGCAACACAAGAGAATGTTGTGAAAACGCTCCTGCAGCTTATTGGGATTTCATGTTTGTTTATCGCTGCCAAACTTGAGGTAAGTCATTTAGAAACTGTTTTGTATGTAGCACATGCTGTTTCTGGACTTCTGCTGAGATTAGGGAAAGAGATTGACTATTTTGTCTGTGGCATATATCCTAATTTTCTCTAATTTTAGGTTGTTTAAAGTTGACACCTGCAAAAAAAAGGCTAGAAACTAACCAAGAAGAGGGAGAATTAGTGAATGTGCGTGTAAAATGCTTAGGTTAGGTAGCTAATTAAAGCAAAATGTTAACTGAGCTTTTTAATGCGGATATTACTTAGAATAAGGGACTTCATGTTGTGGAAACTTACATTTTTTCAGGCAATGTTAGTTGATTTAAAAGGATTCAAATTTTGGTGTGGTTGTACATGTTGGTAAAGCCATTGAAAAGATGAAATTTTAAAAAATATTCCAGATGAGTAAATGAAACAAAGTTCATGTGTTCTTTGTTGTTTTTTGGTGGGTTGGGGGTTTTCTTTTACAGTGAATACATGTTCTACTCTGGAATGGCTTCTGTACGTAGTCCATCCGTATGCCCTCTTCCCTTTCTTTCTGTGCCAGGGCACAAAGAAATGAATTTTAGATAAGTTCCAACTATTAGGGATTCACTTTTTGCTACTGGTGTCTTTTTCTTTCCTCCTAGGAAATCTATCCTCCAAAGCTGCACCAGTTTGCTTATGTTACAGATGGGGCTTGTTCAGGGAGTGACATTCTTAACATGGAATTAGTCATTATGAAGGTAGGTTACAAGTTGATTTTTCCGTCCTTTTTAAGTACGTGCATAATATCTTCTCCCTATTAACTGTGAGGTTCTTGGTGTTCTCCAGCTGGACACATTGTGGCTCAGAACCTGGGCTGTTCTTTGAACTCTGCTAGAGGCCAGAGAGAATGCTCCCTTTGGGAGCAGAATATCTTCCTTTTCCCCTCTCTTTTCTCTGTTTTCCTTTAGGCTTTGAAGTGGCATTTAAGTCCCCTGACTGTTGTGTCCTGGCTGAACGTATACATGCAAGTCGCATACCTGAATGACTTTTCTGAGGTGCTGTTGCCTCAGTACCCCCAGGAAATCTTCGTACAGATCGCAGAGGTGAGTGGCTTCATTTCCTCTGGGCTGCCTGCCCTACCACTAGGTGACCACTCTAGAAGGGAGGTGTGCTGACAGTTTCTTTGTTCTTTTCTTTCCCACAGCTGTTAGATCTCTGTTCCCTGGATTATGACTCCTTGGAATTCTCCTACGGTGTTCTTGCTGCTTCTGCCATGTATCATTTCTCGTCATCTGAATTGATGCAAAAGGTTTCAGGTACATTGCCTTTCCAATGAGGTCACAAGGAGTATAAACGTCAAACACCTTGTCACCTTCAGAATGAGAATAAAAATTCTGTTTTCATTGCAGGATATGAGTGGTGTGATATTGAGAAGTGTGTTAAGTGGATGGTTCCGTTTGCCATGGTGATAAGGGAGACCGGAAGTTCCAAGCTGAAGTACTTCCGGGGGATCCCTCTTGAAGAGACACACCATGTTCAGACCCACATAAACAGCCTGGATTTGCTGGTCAGTACTGTTGCTTGTGTCAGTCGATCCTTTTCCCAGACAGATTTGTAAGCATGTTTTTAAATAGCCTCTCCACTTTCCTGATTCTCTAACAAAAGCTTAATTCTTTGAATTTTGTCAAAAATTCTGGTCAACAGCTACTGCTGCTTCTAAGTACTGTGAAGACCAGGCAGTTTAGGGGATTCTCTTCACTATTTGTTCTTTTGGTTGTTTCATAGGAAAAACCCAGTTAAATTAAGCCCAAAAGATACTGCTTACTTTTAACATTTCTCCCTTTTTATTATCAACAGGAGAAAGTCCAAGGAAAGAAAGCCTTGTTGTCTGATCAAAATAGGATTTCTCCTCTGCCCACTGGGGTACTCACCCCTCCTCAGAGCAGCAAGAAGCAGAGCAACGAGCAGGAACCAATGTAATCCCACCTGCATTCTACCCCAAAGACAGGGGTGTTGGGAGCGCCTGCTCCTTTTTTCTTCTGTCTGCTACAGCAGAGGTGCACGCTAGCTTTTCCAGATACATAAATGGAAGAGTATGTCTCTTCCTCTACAGAGGGTTTTCTGTTAATGGCATTGGGACAGGGAGAAGTGGGCTTTATTGAATACTTTGATTTTTTTTTTTTTTTGAAATTAATGGGTCAAGTACACCAGCCACCTCCAGAACACGCATGAGTGCTCCAGATGCTGCTAAGGAGGGTGATACTTGACTTGATTGACAGTCACACAGATAACAAAGGCTCCACGTGGCGGCATGCCACTGTTCTGGTGGTCTCCCTAGGGGTTCAAGCTGCGGCCTGTTCATGGCACAGGTGCTTGTGAGCACTGATTTAGAGCCCACAACCAACTGTACCAGAGGCCCGCTCCTCACACAAGCAGTTGACAATATACAATGCCTTTTATGAACTATTTGTGCTGCTATGTATCCGTTTTTAAATAAAGGTAATATTGTCTTCGAGACAGCCGGTTTTATAAGCTGTGCCTAATAATTTAAGTTAGAAGTCAAATTTCACTGTGGCAATATCAAGCTCTCCTTTTTGACTTGATCTTCTTAAAGCTCAAGTCTTCCAAGCAAATACATTTAAAAGAAATCTTTTGAAATGACCCTTATGTGCAATCTTGCCTGCCTCCTGAGGGCCCCTTGAGCTCTTAACCTAAAGAATAAGTGAATTTTTGTTTGAAGAACCTGAAACATAGTAGCCTAAAACTATACTTTTAAGAGGAAAACACAAGTAGAATTCTGAGTTGTTCAGTGCCATGTCGTTCATGACCATTGCTGGAATCACCAAGTGCCTTGCTCTATGGGAAAGGTTGGTGTGCACTCTGAGACCCAGTGTGTGAAGAAGCCCAGATCAGATTTTGTGGAACCACCCTTACAGCGGCAGCCTGTCACTGGCTGGTGTCTCACTTCCTCACAATTCTTTTGCATGGGTGGGTGCAAACGAGGGAGGACAAATGAGCAAATAAATGAGATTATTTTTTGTTTGCTATTTTACCTCATCTTATAAAAGTCTGTCTTTGAAATAAAGTCATTTTTAATCTGTACTGTATATAATGTTGAAGAGAAACCCTACTATTTTGACATTGTGATTTTAAATTTCTGGAAATTTTTAATACATTTTTTCCTAATAAATGAATTATAAATCAGCATAGAATGGTATTTGGTCAAATGGTGTTTTATGTGCCAAGTCAGTTGTGACTCAACACATCAGAACAGAACACTGTCCGGTCCTGCGCCAACTTCACCATCATGCTTGAGTCCATTGCTGCTGCCACTGTACCATCCATCCCATTGGTTGGGGAGGGGGTCTTGTCCTTTTTCACCGACCCTACACTAGCTTAGGTATGTCCTTCTCCAGGGACTGTTCCCTCCTGACGACACAATTTTTTGTCTCAGGCAGAGATGTTCTTGCCTTACAAAGCCCATGCTTGTTTGTTTAAGTGTAGTTCGGTGAAAGTTTACAGAGCAAATTCATTTGCCATTCAGTAATCCGCACACCTTGTGTTTCCTGACACTGGTCACAATCCCTCAGTGCAGCAGCACTCCTCCATTTCTTCCCTGGGTCTTCTTCCTGACCTCTGAGCTCTGTTCTTGGCCAGATACCCTAATTGTCCTATGTAGTTGATTGGACAGAGATGCCCATCCCCGGTATTATAGGACTCAATTGCTTGGATGAAAGTTGATTCCAGGGGTGGGTTCAGCTCCAAACCTGGAAAATGTCCAAGGGCCACAGTCTTGGAGTTTCCCTCAGTCAATAGATTTCATGAGTAAGCTTTTTTGTGTGTGTATGAGTTTTCCACATTTTCCTTCTACTTTATCCAGGACCTTCTATTGTGATCCTGATAGAGTGGTTAGTAGTGATAGCTGTCTCGGGGTAGTGGAGACTACAGTTTGGGTGGTCTGTTAGTCCTTTGGACTAAACATTTCCTAGAAACAAAAAATTTTCTTCACGCTTCTTTGTTCCAGACAGACAGAGACTTCTTAGATGGCTGCTTGCATCTTTTAAGACGCCAGTCCCTCCTCACCAAAGTAGGCTGTAAAAAATGTCTTTGTGGGCTATGGTAGGCCAATTGGCCTAGGTATCCCAAAATTTATGATCCTAAGTCCCTAAACCCAGTGACTTGTTCCCTCAAACTTACGGCTGAGTTTTCAGGACTTTGCCCCCTTGTTCTACAATATCCTTGGATATATTAGGGGGCTTCAGAAAGTTTCTTGAAAACTGGAATGTTGCCATGAACTTTTTGAAACCCTCCTGTATTTATGGTACAAATACATACATTTATGTATACATATTCTCTGCCAAACCTATATATAATTGTGTGTGTACTCCCATTTGCCTTCCCACATCTGTTCAGCTTGTGTGTCAACTTATGAATCAGTGATTTTTAAATGGCGATCATCTATAAGTGATTTGGCAAACTCCTAAAGATGGTTAATTTACATTTGGCATTTTTATGTAAAAATATGGTACCAAAAATGTTTGTTTTCTAAGTTTTATGAAAAGTTGGAGATCTTGACACATCTGAGGTAAGGTAACACCTGTTTGAAAGTACATTTGAGGTAAATAGTGTGGCAAACCATCATGTTGCAAAGAATATTACTGAATATGCTGAAAACAAAGTTCCTTACATTTTAGTTGTAGAAATGCTACCTTTCTGGCAATCAGGATTTTAAAAATGGTAGCATTGCCACAGGTCATCCATGCTAATAAAAGGTAAATTCCAGGATGGATAAGTGAAATCCATAATCCCTATAGTTCTGCCTTAAATGCTACGAGTAAGTAAGAATCAGATTTTGCCACTTAGGGGCAGATCCTGTTTGCTAGGAATCAACACATGTTAAACTTTGGGTCCTTACTAGTTGAATCTATGCACCCATTTTTTGTTCTGCAATGTAGCTTAAACCAACTGAGACTTGACGATACCACAGTAGACCTCAGCAGTAAAAATGGCAGCTGGAGGTCAACCTGAGGTACAGATGCCTCAGCAGAACCAGAGCAGGGAGGTGATGAGGGGCTCCTAGACAACTTCCTGTGTTAGAGACTGCGCAGCGGTTCCTGAGAACTTCCTGTCCCTCCTGGACTGAGGATGGTGGAACACTGTCCTACTCTCGCTCCGGGACTAGACCTGACCACTGGTCCTCAGGTGATGGTGTTGAAGGTGTTCCAATGCCGTTTCTCCTGTGGGGAACAAGGGCAGCTTACTGGTTCAGGGAGACACTTTCACACCACGTGGATAAATAACTGATTGCATTTTTGAGGGCAGTAAAGTGATGTGGAACCCTCTAAACATTGGGAGCACAGTGGGTGATGTACTTCCATCTTCGAACTCAGACACAAGGGGACCGGAGCTTACTGAGGCAAAAATCGACTTTAGCTTAGAGCAGGGGTGGAAAGAGAAATCAAATCTGATAATGTCTAGTCATATTTACCCAACCGTGCATTTTCCTACCACATGTTCAACATTTTGAAATTCAAATCACATTTATACCTTGGACATTGTTAGAAGACTATTTTTATCCCTGCTGTAATCATCTAATTTGCTGATTACAGGTCTCAAATTGCCACAGAGAACTCAATTTTTGAAAGAATTGTCCTGTTTGATCAAATATGTTATTCAAGCAATGCAGTCATTTGTTCCACAAGGTTACCTGCCAGGCAAAGTTAACCAGGAGTAATGGCATTAGAAGCCTATACTTAAAATCAAGTATTAGCTAATCTGCCTGTGACAATGGAGTCTTAAATATAATTTGCTGCAGATACTTCAGTTCCTGCACCGGCAGACGATTGCATTTTGTATTCAATGAGCATAGATTTTTCCAACCTCTTCCCATTTCCAAATTTAACTCCCGAAGACTCGACTGTGCTCAGTTGACAGGCTTCTCAGACAGGAGAGCACTGCTGTCCTCTGTTGAATGAACACTCCCCACTTTGAAGTCATGGTCCACATCAATGCCAACTCCTCTTGTTTTGCACTAATGTTGGCTTCCCTTGGATTAATGTGCAAAGTACCCGCCACCCCCCTGAATCAAGCACTTCCAGGTGTTGGAGACAAAGGTTCTTAGGGTGTGATAATGTGAGGGTCAGGTAAACAGCAGAATGCCATGAGGTCCACATGCATACAAAACCCAAACCTGTTGTCATAGAGTCAATTCGGACTCATGGTGACCCCGTGTATTACAGAGAATGGCTCCATGGGCTTTTCTTGGCTGAACTCTTCACGGAAGCAGGTTGTTGGGCTTTTCTTCTGTGGTGCCGCTGGATGGGTTTGAACCAGTGACCATATGTGTCACCTGTAGTGAGGTCTCTGGGAGCACAGAAAAGGAGCAGCTCTGCTTGAGAGGTAAGACCTGGAACCTCCCAGCAGCCAGCACTCACAGGTGGCAGGAGGAAGATGAGGCAGGAGAGGCAACACACGGCGATGTCATGAGGGGCTTTTGCACATCACCTTGCAAATGGACTTGTTTTTCCCAGCAGCAGGTAGAGCAAAGTGTGCACAGAGCCTGGTTGGAGGCAGAGGCTGAGGAAACAAGGCTGGAATTCTGTCTTTTCATGCCACATGGAATTACTACCATGCAGTGTGTGGGGAACAAGAAGGGAAGCGACAGGGACATCCATAAAAAGGAGCTGCATCACGCATTTCCCATCGGGCATGCCTGAGAGCCCAGGGCCCTCCTTAGACCACCGCAGTGATTTCAGACCCTACCATCCACACCTGCTCAGACCTCCCTCCTGTAGGACACTGTCCTGCCTTGGCCACACAGATGCCATTTCTTCTCTGGACTCTGAGGCAGGCAGCTACATGGGCACCTGATGCTGTCACTTCCGTGTGGGCACAATGCTTTGTGGCCCCAAGTCCAGTGTTCCTCAGCTGTGAAATGGGATGCTCACAATAGGATCTGGCCCACAGATTTGGGGTGTGTG